TCCTGCTGATGTTGCTTTCCTGTTTGGATTTAGCCTTTGAGTGAAAGTGCTCAGCTTGGATGTGCTCTTTAGGTGCCAGTGAGGTCTACAGTGGTTTCCCAGACAAAACAAAGCCTGAGAAAGAACCTTAAAAGGCAGACACCAAGGAAAAATACCATCTACAGGCAAAGGCATTCAGAAAAGACAGGCAGTAGTGATCAGCTTGCTTTTAGGGGGAGATCAGCATTCATACTTCTCCAGCCCTCACAAAGCACTCCAGCCTGCAGTTGCCACTGAATAAAATCTTAAAACTCTGACAATTTTCTGCTCAAGATGTTCACTATCATTTTGTACATGACAATTGTTTAAGCACAAGACCCTGTGGGACACTGATGCCCAGGGACCCTGATGGAACCAGAAATGTTGGCACAGAAATCAACTTTGTGCAACAGGTGCTTAATGAACCTGCACGGGGACCCAGATGTTGGTGGATAGTCAGCATATCTGCTCTTTTTGTGTTGGGTTGGATTTTTTAGTATGAAGCCATTCAAACCCCCCCCCCACACACAGGAATCAATTAAGCCACTTTCTCTGTTACTCCCCCTTTACCTGAGGCTATAAAGCACCTTCCCATCAGGCTGGACCCGCAGCATGACGTTGTCTGTGGTGGTGTCATGGATGAAGGAACGCTTGGAGTGGACAAAGAACATGTCGGGGACCCAGATCTTCTTCACCAGCCTCCCATCAAAGGTCATGCTTTGGTTGTTGGTGCTGGGGAAGGACAGCCTCTCATCTTTCCAGTAGTGCCTCAGATAGAGCGTCATGGTGAAGTCCTGCAACAAACAGGCTTGTGTCACAACTTACACCTTATCAGCATAGCAGTGATTTCTCCTCTCTGGGATCAACCACAAGCTTAAAGCACCATTCCTGAAGGCACATCTGCTCCCTGAGCTGTGGAGGACACTATCAGCTGCAGCTTTTTTATTCCTTAGGTCAGACTGACTTACTGGATTCAGGAATCAGAGGCCAACCAGGTGGAAAGTCCACCTCTGAAATGCATTTTGGTGTCTGCTAGCCACTCCAAGGACCAAAAGGCAGACATGCCAAGCCAGCAGTGGGTGGAAGGTGCTGGTGAGCACTAAATCCCCCACAACCATGGGATACCATCGTTTTGGAGCCAACAGTGAAGACACGTTTGCTTCTCCCAGGCAGATGGAAGAGCATGTTGCAGTGGGAGCTCATCATCCAGCACAGCCAATGAAATCTTTTGGGCTTGGTAATTGACCAAAGGTCTTCTCCAGTGTTATTCTGCACACAGCCAATATTGACCCTGGGTGCTTTTCTCACCCAAGGCCATACTGTGCTTTTCCCATGCTGCTGGGTGCTGCAGCACCACGTTACACGAGGAGCACGGGCAGTATTAAAAAAAATAGAGGAAGTAGTTCAAAATCATTATGCTTGTTTAAAAATGAAAGGGTTTGTTAGGTTTTTTGCTTTAAAATTCTCAGTATTAAGTTATTTCTCTTTGTTTTCAAGTCCCAAAGCTTTTCAGGGGCTGTCTGACCACCTTCATAAGCTTTCTCCTCAATTAGCAGGGCTGGGACTATCCCAGGAGAGGGGAAATCTTGGAGTTGCCATGGCTGGAAGTCAGGGTGCCAGAAGCACCAGAGACAGGAGGGACAACTAGAGGTCTCCCTAGGGCTGGGGAGAATGTGCACATGGATGTGCCCCAGCACTGCAACCCCACTGCACCCTGCAAGTGATCAAGCAACTGCAGATATCCCAGCCTGCTCTAAAGCTGAAATAGCTGCATTTGGAGGAGCCTGGTGTGGTAGCAGTGTGGCTGCCCAGTGCCAGCTGTGCCACCACCCAGCCATGCTCCTGGCCCAGACAGGGGAGGTCTGGCACAGGCTTTTTAACCCTGTGGCTGTTAATTAGGAGCACAGTGAAATTAGGGCTTCCTGTGAAAGCTCAGAGCTGTTTGATATGCTTGTTGAAAGAGCAAAACATTTTGAAAAGTAGTCTGTATCAGGATGTGATTTTTTTTTTTTTTTTTCTCCTCCAAAGCAGAAGTTGAGCTGCTGAGACTCTGGGGATGATCTAACAGGGTAGATCTGACAAGCTCTGGGCTTTGAAATTGTGAATATAATTGGTGTAAGTCTTGCAATATACAAGCAGGGCCACCTCCCATTCCCCTTCTGTGCTCCTGCTGTCCCATGTGCATGTAATACCTTCCCATGGAAAATCTGCTGCAGAAATCATACCTTACTTCCAGCAATGTTTTGTGAGGCAAAAAAGCCCCTCCAGTAAAAATGATCACAACAAAAATCTGCACCGTTATGAGAGCATTTGAAACCTGTCAGGATTCACATTGCTAATTGTAATGTAAGAAAGGAAGAACAGAGATTCAGTAAGGAATTTAGCCTGTGCAGAGCACCAGTGTCAGCCCTGCATGCCCCTGAAATCCTACTTCAGCATCCGTGTGAAGATATAGGAAGGTCCCCAGCACACAGTGATACAACTGCTAATGGACCAAAGGCAGGTTCTGGAGAAACTTCTCTCCCCTGAGCTCATTCTGGCTGCCCTGTTGAGAGCAAGACTTAACCAGTCTGCACCAGCGTTGCTCTCAGGATGGCTCTATGGCTTCTGGTTGGGAGCTAGCTGGCTCCTGACCACCTCAGAACATGGCCAAAGTGAGACTGTGTCTGCAGTGTATCAAAGTGCCTTAAAACTAACACATTAATTGGTTTCCTCGGAGCCTTTAAACATATTACCGCTTCCTAAGAAAAAGTGAAAACCCCAATCCTTTGGGACAGTCTTAGCAGTATTGCATCTTTTTTGCTCTAGAGAAAAAGAAATGCCAGATTTCTTCCTTATTCTTCAAGGCAGATTAAATGCTAGCATGAGGTCAACACAAGTAATTGTTGGCAGATTCAAATGAAACCCAAATCTGCCTCCTGGAGGCTGTGGCATCTCTGTCCTTGGAGGTATGCAAACCCCACAGACACAGACCTGGGCAGCCTGCTCTAGCTGGCTTAGACTCAGCAGGAGTTTGGTCTAGATGGTCTTCAGACATCCCATCTGACCTTAGTCCTTCTGTCACTCTTACCATGTCCACCTCAGAAATGCTGTCCAGACTTTCAACTTGGACATCCACCCCAACAGGAATTGCAGGGCCTGAGTTGAAAACAAAAAGTTAAGAAAGTATCAACCTGGTGAGACAAACTAATCTTCTGGCTTTAGTATCTTAGATGTAAAAATAGATGACCAGTCTGAAAACAGAAACAGTAAACCAATTAAAACCATAAATTGTTAGAATTTGTAACAAAAAAACCTCCTAATGATAATCAAAATCAGCAATGAGACTGATCTATTACTGGCATTCTCCTTGTGTTGTGACATCCTACACATGTCCCTTCAAAATTGAAAAGCCCAGTTGCTAGTGCTCAGGTCCAGGGCTCACCAGCCAGATGCCCAGCAGGGCAGCAACTCCCAGGGAGAGCAGCAGCAGAGCAGCTAAGGGGATGTGAGAGGGTTGCTCCAAATTTTCTCTCACTGGTTCTGCTCCCCTCTCAGGCCAACAGCAGCACCAAGAGCTGCTCCTTGTGCTTGGCATCAGTGGCTGGCTGTGGAAAAGACAGGGTGACGAAGGGGATGCACAAGCATGTGCCACTGAGCCTGGGGCTCCCGAGGGGGAGGGTCAGGCTCTGACCCCTCAAAATAGGGATATTGATCTTTTTTTCCTCCTCCAGGCTTTGACTATCCCTCACATACCTCTGGCAATTACAGTACAGGATATCTGTCAAGATAAATAGTGCTCACATTAGAGAACTGCTGTGAAACTGAAACCTTATTAAATTAATTGAACATGCGGGTATTTGGTATATTGAGCATTTAGCAATAAAACCTTCTTCCTTCAGAGTATATAAGGGTATCCTGGATTTGAATGACCATCTGTCAGCCAGAAAGGGTAGATAAATTACAACATTCTCTAATCCGATGGGCTGAAAGAAAACGTGCTCTCCTTCATCCATTTCCCTGAAAGCTTAGGTTGCTCTAACATATAGCCAGAAAACTGTGAGCAAGCATTCAAACACAGCAGTTAACATCTTTACTTTAGGGTTACAAACAAAAGGACCAGGTCAGTAAGCATAGTATGTGGTTTGATTATGTACATGTGGCCATAGTAAGAAGAAATCACAGAATTTACCCATAACCCCAGAATAAACATAAGGCATATTCACAGTTTTTTTTTATCTGAAGAAAGTGTCATTGAGTACCAGGAATATTATATTGCCTGTATTTTCCATGCCTTTGACTAAGCTACTTGCTCATCCAAGGAAGAAGGCTATTTTACTGCACCCCTATGCCCCTGAGCATGTCATGAACTCGCAACACAAACCAACAAAAACTAGAGACAGAAAAGGCTCTGCTTGCCAACCCGCCTGTTCATCTGACAACACGTTAGTGTGCAAAGAAGTGACAGTGCAAAACAGGAACAGTGACAAATGTGCACGTTTCATACCTCCAAAACCTGGTCTCATGCTGAAGTCGTGGTCATCTATTCGCAACAGCTGCTCTGACTTTGTCAGGGGAGACTTGGTGATGTCAGGGCTTCGTTTTAAGATCGGGCTACCAGGAAGAGAAGCAGAGCTGTGAGTCCTAGGCCGTGCCTGTGAGTACACGCTGCATTACCCCTTAGACCATAACCAGGAGATTGCCTGCAGTGGTTGGCATCATGTCATGGAAATACAATTCCTGCCCTCAACACAGTTTAGGCACCCGTGATAATACTGGCACTGAGAAAACATCTGTTCAGGGACTTTTTTCCTCTGTAAAAATTAGCTTTGCTTATGGCAGAGTTTGGAGACAATAATTCAGGAATAATAATAATAATTCAGGCTGGAGGGATAGTGTGAGTGGGAAAGTGGGGAAATGGAAATGAGAGGGAGGCATTTCTGACATTGAGTCATGGCAGGGCCTAAGGCCAGGAATTAGGGAGACAATATATCAAATAAGCTACTGGCTGTTGACCAGGAACAAAATGGAGGCAAGCTGGGAACCAGGCCAGGAGACAAGCCCCTCCCTTAACCTGGGTTATAGTTATTAGCTCCTGTCCCAGATTTCTAACATGGATAAAAAGGAGCATTAAAGACCTGGGACTTTTCTGAGCATTAAGGAGCCTGAGAGGGTCATTCCAGAAGCTATTGAAGTTGCACGAAGTGCTGGGCAGAGGATGCTCTGCTCCTCCTCCACATCAAGGTGCCAAATGCTGCTCAGTGCCCCAGTGCTTTGGTGGGAATGGTGGTGGCAGCAGCTCCTCGGTTGCCTCATCTTGTAGGTGAAGCCTTACTGCCCTGAGAGCCAGCTGCATTGCCAGACACTGGGGTGGCAGGAGGGCTCAAAAGCAGGAGGAAAGCCTTTGCTGGTTCTTGGTTTGAGAAAAGGTGGCACACTCAGAGGGGCATGTGTCTATACACAAGTCAAGTTGGCAACAATCTTTTCTGTTAATCTAATGGAAAACTGGACAACGAAGGAACAGGGAATATGTTCCTGACATAAAGCTCCTCTGAAGTGAGACTGCTTAGCTGTGCTGTACTTCTCACAGGTTCATGGGCAGTTGCACCGTGAGAAGCCAGTACAGCTCTTCCAACAGAGACCAGCAGTGTTACCAGCCTCTCTCTTCTCAAACCCGGAGCTTTATCTGGACTCCTGAGTATCTTAGAAAGATGCTTGGTCTCTGTTTAATAATTTCTAGGAGCAGCAAGTCCTCTGCTTCCATCAGAGAGTTCTTTGAGATGTTAATTAACCCTCAGGCATTCTTAAAAATGGCCCCTGCTTTTGCTTTAGATTTAATTCAGCTTCTAGAAGACCCGTGGTGGTGTGAGCTCCCATCGGGGAGGGTTTATACCCATATGAGATGGGGGGGAGGTGTTAGCAGGTTGCTAGCAAAACCTTCCACAGTTGGTTGTGCTCAGGAAGGCCCTTTCCCCTGGGCAGTAGCAGAGGGAAGGATGAACCATGAGGGGCTGGGGGCTTCGCCTACCTGCCTTGCTTGTGCGCGTCGCCGCGGGCCTCGCGTCTCTGCCGCTGGGGCTGGCTGTGCGGGGCGAGAGGAGAGGGGAGCTGAGGCAGGTGGCTGTGGGCACGGACCCGTGGTGGGAAGTGCCAGGTCCCCCCCGCAGCCCTGCCTTCTGTCACCCACGCAAAACGGCTCTTACCTTTTTTTAGCCCGTTTCCCAAAGGCTGGTGCCGCGCCAGGCACGGGGCTGCGGGGGGCTTGAGGCAGGGCAAGGGGAGGGGAGTCATGGCGAGGCCTCATAGCACCTTCCAGCACCTGAAAGGGGCCTGAGAGAAAGCTGGGGAGGGGCTTTTCATCAGAGCATGTCACTAGGATAAGGGATAAAGGCTTTAAACTGGAAGTGGGTAGGTTTAGGTTAGACATTAGGAGGGAATTCTTCACTGTGAGGGTGGCGAGACACTGGAACAGGCTGCCCGAGGAGCCTCGGGATGCAAAACCAACATCTTAAAAGTTTAGGAGCTCTGACTCATCTTTAATCAAAAGTTGAAAAAAACAGCTTCTCTCTGTAATAAACACTAAGGCTGATCAGGTCTGCTAAGGAGGCTTTTTCCCATTAACATATATTTCAAACCCAGCTGTAGAGATTTACAGAGGCAAAACTCCTGTTGCAAGAAGGGGCGTCACAAGCTGAGCATCACTGCCCTTTGGTGGGCAATGGCTGAACCCCAGGCCTTGCAGAGCTTTGGGGAGCCTTGCAGGTCAGAGAAGAGATGTCAGAAGAAGCAGCTTCTCTGGTTCTGGACACTGCTGCAAAATGCACTTGCAAATGTGAAATACAGTTTCTAGAGTCTTCTGCCTCACAGATACGCCCTTGCAAGCTACTGCTGTATCTCACTGCTGCTTGCTTCTCATCTGCTGGCCATCAGGAAGTAATCTCATGTGTTTGGGGATAAGCAGATTCTGGCAACGAGCTGACCTACTTGCATGACTTCAAAGTGCCCTAGTAAACTCTTGGCTGTTCAGGAATAATGCTGGTTTTCAAACAGGATGAAGCAGGATATGTTCATGCCATTTCTATTTTTCATTTCTCTTTGTAGAGCTTCATGTTGGCCCTGGCCCCAGACTGCCTGTCCATGGAGCCTTCAAGGCATGGCCATGAGGACTCATGGCCAAATCCTTCCTGTCCTCTAAACCTGGCAACCCTGGTGGTTCCTCTTCTTTCAGTGATCCTGCACTGCCCCTAAACGAAACTTTACTTCTTTCTCACAAACCTATGCAAAATGTCCTCCATGCTCCAGCCACAGCAGGGGACTGTGTTCATGTCAGCTGTGGTTTGGTTCCTTCACTGCTTTTTGACAGTCCCATTCCCCTCATCACAGGTGTGAAGTTACTGAGTTACCCCCTCTTTCTTGCCTCCTGCTGTGGCAGCAAATGATTTTTACCCAATTACTGCAATTTGAAGCCCCATTTCATTCTACTCAATAAATACCTTTCCTGGTCCACTTCCTGGAGAGAGCTCAGCTGGCTCAGTGACCAATGGTGGCTCCACCATGGGACCCCATTAGTCTGCCTGTTTGGGCTGAGAGTCAATGGCAAGCCACTGGGGCTTCCCCTCACCTGCCTGCTGTCATAGTCTTGCTCCTGCACTGGGATAATCTTCAAAACTAACAGATAACTTTAGGTGTGGAGCAATGAATAACCTTTTTTTCCCCCCCAATGTCAATGTCATTGCAGAATAGAGCTCAGGCCTCTGGTGGGAGCTGAAGTAATGCAGCCTCTCCAAAGTCTTCACTATTTACCCAGATCTCCCCACAGTTTCAAGGGATCATGAGATGCCCCTTCTCCAAAGGCTGAGACTTGCTAGGGAAAGGAGGTGACTAAAGCTGAGGATAGGTAGGGGGAAAAAATTCAGCAAAACCAGATTTTCCTCACTGTTGCCAGGGACACAAGGCAAAAAACAGTTACTCTTTTTTTTTTTTTTTTTTTTCCTAAAAAAGCCCTAGTTTTACTGTGGCACTTATAGTCCATCCAACACAGTAAAAAGGGTTGCATGGGTAGGGATCATGTCTGATTTTCAGTTGAGGCAGTCCAACTATGACATCTGAAGGTCCCAGCAGGCGTTTCCCAATGCCCAGCTTCACAGGACTTGTGCCAGAGAAGTGTCAGGTCCACACTTGCAGTGTGCACTGGAAAGCCCACAGTATTCTTCACCTTTGAAAAAGAGCTTTCGGAAGCAACCACAACAAATATGATAGAAGTCAGTACCCATCTTAGCATTTTAGTTTTAACTACTTCTGCAGGATGCATTTCCCTCTTTTTTCTACAGGCAATACACCTGTAATAGACAGTGTCATGTTTTGCACTTATTAGGAGAATCTCATCAAGATCTGAGAACATTTCTTCCTTGAGGAGTTTAGTCAAGACACAGTTTCAGTTCTTCAGGAAAAAAGTAAGATCCAATGTATTTTCCTCAAGAAAAAAGTGAAAGTAAGTAATTGAATTAATGGAGTCAGATTCACACTGTCTTTCTTGAGTCCAAGGAGTGACATCCTTGAGGAACAGTGCTGGTGGATTTGGCAGACTAACACTAATGCTATTATTATTAGATTTCATTAAATTCTGAGGGTCAGTCTGTTCTCTCCATCCCTTATGGTATTCTTAGGTTTGCAAAGAGGATGGCAGGTCAGAGAAGGGATGTCAGAACAGATCCTGTCTCAGGAAATATCACTGAGGTGTGGCTGTGGCATTATCGCTGTCCCTTCAGTCACTTGCATCAGCAGCAGCACCTTGGTTGGGGGCTGCAACTGACCCCAGACCCCTACCCTGAACAGGGGTGTCTGCTGCCCTGGGAAACCTGCCAGCCAGTAGCTGGGGCAGAGACACCCAGGGTGCACATTTCCTCTCTGCTTATCTCCTGTCTGGGTGATGCCTCCACCCCTTCTCCAGTGCAGAGACTATGGACTCTCCACCCCTACTCACTGAACTTAATTTTGTCAGACACAAGCTCTGCAGCTCATGCTGTGCTGCCTTGCAGCTGATCCACAGCCTCTCCTGCCACTCACACAAGACAAGGGAGAGCACGAACCTTGTGGAGCCAGTTTTTTTTTTAAAGAAATGCAAGTGATGAAAACTCCCTCCTTCCTGCCAGCTGTGCCCATGGGCTCCCTGTCCCTGGGTGGACACTGGTGGGCAGCTTGTGCAGTGCCTCCCATCCTGCACCCATGAAGCTGCACAGCCTTCGTGCTGTGCTGGGCCAGGTAACTGCAGGAGCCACGTTCCCCTTGGTCTGTCTGTAAAATTATGCCCTGATGAAGGACAGGCAGAAGGATCAGGAGGGAGCAGGGCAGGGTGTTTTGGGACTACTGAAGAGCTGTGAGAGTGAAAAGGTCTATTAAAGACCTGTGCATAAATATGTGTTGTTTATCCCTCTGTTTTATGACCAGTTAGTGCCTTGGGTTCATACCACCTCGGCATCATGTTCAGGCCAGGGAACAAGGAAGAGGCAGGAAGGGGTGGGGAATTACATGCACAATCGTACAGAAGGTTTCTGCAGAAAAACATGGGGCAGAGGCAAAGAGAGCTTGGATCTGCAACAGAGCATAGGCATGGGGTGAGACTGCAGAGAAAGGAGGCTGGATGGGCAGAGATGGGGAAGGAGGGAGGGGAGTAAGGCCAGAGGGAGAGATGACAGAAGGAGCAAAGAGGAGACATCAGGCTCAAATGGTGCCTCAGCATTGTGTGGGATGACTTCTGGGGCACAGACACCCTCTACCAGTCCTGTGCATGAGCACAGGTGTCCCCTCACTGCAGAGTGATGCTTCCCAACCCCTGCAGATCCATGAGCCTCGTGGGGCTAAAGAACGTCCCAGCCTGCAACCCAAAGGAAGGAAAAAGATTTTAGGGCAGAAAGTTCACAAAGGTCCCTCATAATCTGCCTGCAAAAGACTTGGGAAGACCTTCTGAGCAAGCAGGAGATGCTGGTGGACAGGTGGTGCAGCAGGTGAAGATGAAGATGTCACCCAGAGCCCAGAAAGGGGCTTGGGGGAGGAGGAAACTGAGGTAGCTAAATGGGTAGAAAAACCACCCAGCACCTGAGGGGGGACAGAGCAAAGTTGCCATGGGAGGAAGCTGCTCTTACCCAGCAACATGCACTGCAGGACACACGATCCTCTGTGTAGTGTACTAATTCCCAGGGATGACATAGGATAGAAACCCACTGACTTGTGCTTAAATTGGGAGAGTTTCAAAGCTGTAAACAAACCACTAAAAACCGAGGACAATTAAAAGGTATTTTATCTCAGTGTTTGGCAAGCCCTTGTTTGCTTGTAATTATGTTGGGTCATGTGTCCTCATGAAGTGTAGGTTGGAAGGTGGTGAAGAAAGGTGACCCATTGCTATTACAGGTGGTCAAATCTATGGAAAAAAAATGGGGAAAATGCACTATTTTGGATGTTCACATCACAAAATCTGAGAAACAGTGGGATTCAGAGCTGTTCTGCCATCTTGTTTTTCAGTGATACAGAAAATTCAATGAGAACCCTGTTTTAATCCAGTAATACTTGAATATATATGAGTCTTGGAATGACAAATACGCAGGGGCAGGTGACATGTATGCACCCTTTAAAGTTTGCACTTCCTTTGTGCTTTGCCTGGAAATAAACACTGGCAAAAGAAAAAAAAGAAAAAAGAGAGAAAAGAAACAAACCTACACACTGGTTACTCACAGAAATGTAATGACATCTGAGGTCTTGGCACTGTAGCTGATGTTGCAAAAATGAAAGTGCCCTTGTGTGGCAGAAACTGCACCCAGTGAGTGTGTGTTTTTTTGGGTTTTGTATTATCCAGGTTGAAAGGAAGGGTGAGAGGAAGCAGGAGGAGTGTGACTGAGGTTCTGTCCTGCCAGCTGAGGCAGGCACAGTGCTGGGACTCAGCTAGGTGAAAAAGAGAAATGGATGAAGGGAAGGAGAGCAACTAATGGGGCAATGCACAGTGTTTCATGCCTGCTCCAGTCTTTGAAGGTAAGTTTACCTGCAAGCAGATGTCAGCACAGTGCAGATCAGAAAGGGCACGTTAAGGAA